CGCACGGCCATAGCAAAAAAAAACCCTAAACCCCTAAACCCTTAACCCCTAAACCCTAAACCCCTACACTCCTAAACCCTAAACCCCAAACCCCAAAACCCCTAAAGCCCTAAAACCCTAAAACCCCCCAAAACCGAGGCTGGTGGTGGCAGCAGCTCCTAAAACTCGGTGCAGGTCAGTGCATTGAGGGCATCTCAGAGAACTTCTGTGTCTAGGAAGCCCAGTGATACCTGTTTTACTCCATTTTTGGGGTTTGGGGTTCTGGGTTCCTTTGATACCCGTTTGGGGTTCTGGGTTCCTTTATGTTATTTTCTTGCCAAGCTTGAAAAAGGTTAGCCTTCTTGCAATACTGGGCTAGCAAGGTGTGTGGGATGCCGATTTGATTGTGCTGGAGCCATGGTCGCTCTTGGAAAAAGGAAAGGGCAGCTTGGCGGCCATTTCTGACCGTTGGCGCTTGTTGACTGTTGGAAGTTGGTGACATATTCATGTCGAAGTTTGTCAGGAGGTCAGAAGTCGAATCCCCAAAACCTAATTTAAGTTACTAGTATACTAAAACTATATTAATCACCATATATATATCCTCAATAGAGCACCTTAAATTACATCTCTTACTGAAGGGAACTCGGTATCTTCCCTAAACCTCAAATCCTAAACCCTAAGCCACCCATACCTACATCTCAGAACTTAACAGCTCAGAACTTACTAGAATACTGAAACCCTGTTAATACCTATATGTAGCCTGAATATCGTAACTTAAATGAAATTCCTTAACAGCTTAGAACCCTCAACCTTAAACCCCGCAACCCACAACCCCAAACCCCAGGCATGGTGGCTCCGCTCCAGGAGTGGTACATCTCTGCTTATCACCAGGAAGCCTACGAGTCAAGCACCAAGCACATCCTACAGATCCTGGCTTGCCATGTTAGAAGGTTGAGGGTTTTGGGGGTTTGGAGTTTTAGGGTTTAGGGTTGGTTAGGTGTGCGCTTGGACAGTCTGGTGGTGCCGTTAAATGGTTAAATGAGGTCTATGTTTCATAAACATTAAATGGCGATCCTTAGTAGGGTATATAGGGACTTTAGGTTACTTTATCTTGGGTTACTTTCAAGGACCAGAAAGCTTCATATCCTTTATTTAAGGAATGCCCTTAAATCATAGTAGGGGCCCTATCTAATTTAAGCAATACTCAGAACACGTCGCAAAGCAGGCCCCAGTTTTTTTTGCGCACCATGTTTTTGGGCAAAAGACGTGTTTCTGGGGTTTTTCCTCGATAGAAGGGTAGTATTTCTTTTCATGGCTTTCAATGTCTTCATCTCAAGGACTTGTTTGATTTTTTGGGATTTGGCTATGCGAGGGGCTTTCACAATTGTGACAAATATGTGAAGATCCGTATTTTAAATGGTAGCGAGCCCGTACCAAAAAATCCAATTTCCTTAGACTTTAAGGTCTTGATAGGGAGTCCCTTTAGGAGATTCTGGAGTAGGGGAGAGGCCTTCAAAAGGACGGGGGAGGGTGGAGCAGAAGGGGGGGGGGGTCCAGATTGAGGGCTAAACAGGGAGCTCAAGGGCCCGTCATGGGGGATTTTTTCTCAGCTTGGGGCACCCAGTCATCTGCCCTAACTGTTTCGGAACGTAAATCAAGTTATGGTGACAAGGAAACTTTGTTGATTACTACATACCGCCGTTGTGGTAACTGAGCTCAACTAAAGTTCCTTTCCGTAACCTCACAACAGTCCGCATAACCCCTCTGGCCCAAAGAATTGGCCCTGCAGCCGTTCCCTACAATTATCCCGAGAATCTCTATGGCAAGTCCTATATGACATACCTTCTTAAAGCACCTACCCTAAACCCTAGAACGCCACACCCTAAACGGTATCTTCCTGAGCACCCCTTAGTACCCTTACCCCTAAGTAGCCCAGGATGGAGCCGAACAGTCCCCCCAAAGGGGGCACCTGGATTGCACATCACATGGTCTTCAACAAGGCCGTGCTCAACGAGATGCTCCAGCTCCGGGGTTATTCTCATGGTTGTTATTATTGTTATTTTTATTGTTATTATTGTTATTGTTATTGTTATTGTTATTATTGTTATTGTTACGGTTGTTATTGTTATTCTTGATATATATTACTCTTATTATGATGAGTATTTTGGAGTTTAAGTTGATTTGTTATATGAGTGGGGGGTATATTTGTAGGGATTTCTATACGAATTATTCTGGGTAATTATAGGGGTTACGTAGTTACGATTATGGGGGGTATATAGTATTTAATCTGGTTTCCTGATTTTGGTGTTTGAGGTTGGATTCCTCTTCCCTTGAAATACTCCCCCTACTGCAGCGCCTCCCGCTCCTGTCAGCGGAAACCTCCTCAAATTTCCATGATACCCTCTAAATGAATCCCTATACGAATTCCTGTAAATATACCCCTCTTGTGCTTTTGCGCGCTACACTCCCCATCTCAGCATCAGCAGAACTGTTTTCGTGCCAGCGTGATAAGCCCCCTCGTGCTGGTAACTTAAATCAAAACCCAAAATCCAAAACCCCAAACCCCAAACCTAGGCTCATTACATCCAATCTAGATGGACAAAGTCCCTGGCCTGCAAAGCTCTTGAAGATGGCGGAGACCTTTGAGTGCATGTCGGAGACTGGGTTATTGTTGAGGAAGTTGATTAGGTAGCCATACAAGGGACAGGGGTTATTCAGGGCTGGTTACGGGAGTTACTCTTAAGAGGCTGAAACTAAGTTACCAGAACAGGAGAATCATTCTTCTTTTCTTTCATCATGTTAACTTGGTTCAAGTTCCTTGACAGTATCCCAGGGGTACTTGCTCTACGGGACCTTTGCCAGCTACACCTCCACCCTCAGCGCGCACCCCTTCAAGGCCCACGGTGCGCGGGGACTCCGCCTCTACGGCAAGGAGTGTGATTCTCAAATCAATCCCAGATAATTCTTAGTGAGGACCCTTCCTAGCGTCTTTAAGGGCCTACTATTTTCAGAAACTCACAGGAAGAAGCAGATGGCAAGGGCCGCAACTCCAACGAATTCCTCATGCAGTCGCTCAATACCGAAGGCGTATCTTGTAGCGGCTATTCCTACGAGCGCGTTGCTTCTGAGGTATCCTCGCTACAGCTCACCCATTTACAGATGGAGCACGTATACGAGCTGGGCATTTGTAACCAATGCCCGGATGTGCCATGATCCCTTCCCTGGATTGGGAATTTCTCCAGATTGGGGTACCCTAAGGGACCCCAGTGTTTAAATCATAAAGGATGCTAAGGAAGGAATTAGATTCCTCATAGGGGTTGTATAAAGATGATTATGGGAAACTCCCTTCTCTTGCATGTTTTCAACGTCGACCCTCCAGCTTTGGATCTCTTGGAGGCCAGGGCTGGTCTTTGCTGAAGCAACACTAGTAACAACAATAAGAAACGTGACCAGTGTTATCATTATTATTGCTGTTGTAGTAGTAGTAGTAGTAGCAGTAGTAGTAGTAGTAGTACTACTACTACTGCTACTACTACTACTACTACTAGTACTAGTACTAGTACTAGTACTACTAGTGATGAGACCTGTAGCAATACAATAGTAAGGATACCAGCAGTTATCATCAGCGTCAGTATCACTTTTATTGTTATTGCTATTTTGGTCATTCTTAGTTGGGCGGGTCTTCAACGGGAAGGATCAGCAAGCCTTCCCGACACAACTTCACACCAGCCTAATCGTTTTGCCACCGAAAGGTGAGAAGTGCGAAAACGGTTCCCTCGTCTCCTAGTTGGAGGCCCATGCGACCTAGTAACCACTTACAACTGGGCTTATAACCCTAATTATA